TCCAACATGTACGGGGTATTAACGAATACTAAACCGTAATTGCTCAAATTTCCGTAAGACATCATCACGAAGCCGGTTGCGATCAACAAGTGCTTTAATGGCGTTAATCCGCAGGATCCCTTATCGTGCGCTGCTCGTCAATCGCAGCTTCCGTCTGCAGACTCCAAGAAAAAAACCTTTTCCTGCCTTAAACGCATATTGTCACGACCGAAATTACTGTAATCATATTCGCACACAGCAACCATGTACGGAAATACTAAGTGTATTACGAAATCAATGAAACTGTTGACAAACACGATTTCATTGTTGTTTTTCCAAACACTCCATCAGCGCCTGAGCAAATCGAAAACAACCTTTGTTAGTAAGTTATCCATCATAACAGTCAGTTACATAGATCGCTGCTATCTTGACGTCTTCATCGTTATATGATCGCTTGTCTTCCATTGTGACCTGTTTAACCAGATTGCAACACAAGTAATGATGCAAATTGTATTTACGGACAGCTGATCGGTATCAAAAGGCCTTGGCTTTATGTCTTCGGATGACAAGGTGGTGACATTGGGCTTGTCAGATTCATCATAATATCAAACTCGTTATTACCTTGATCCAGCCGCTTCATGGATTTATTCTTCTGAATTTTTAAGTCTCATGGGCAAAATTTTTATTGTCATTTTCCCTCGATAAGTGTCCAATTTCTGTATTGCTTTATATCTTTAATCTCGTAATTTAGCGTTCAATTTCAAACAAAACAAGCACGTTCTATCTGTACATCTTTGTGTGTATTAGTGTCAAGATTACCTATGCTAACGGCGTGCGGAGGGCCAGGAGTGTTCGAAGCTCCCACAGCGAGTTTCGCAACTACTGACATCCCACGTCCGACGGAGAATGTTTTCGTCGCTAACTTGCTTCCAGACGATAATGAAGTATTTATCCATACACATTACGTAAAAGAAGCTGTACCAAACTTTGTTTAGTGTTGTTCTTCTTTTACATTAGGAGAAAATTAGGGAATGGATGAAGTAAACGAAACATAAATAGGTACAACGTTTTTATGATTATTAGGGTGTCATCAAAATTGTGGGAACCATTACTCGACAGTTCAAACAAAATGAATAGCATCAAGAAATTTGGAAACCTTTCAACGCGAAATTGATATACGAGTAGGGTCAAGGAGGCAACAGTGACTCGGTCGGCTACAGTGGCTCAGTCTTGTTTCGACCTGAAGGCATAGGAATATATATTTGTCTCTTTTACCGATTCAAAGGTCTTGGTACCCGAACACGTTTAAACCAGTTTGCTCGCCGGTCAAGTGCCGTGCGGAAGGGTGAGGGAATGTTTTTTGTTTTCGCGCCCACTAAATTACATTCTAAGGTGAGTTTCGATTGTTTTCATATCTTTGTTTGTTGCTATAGGTAATAGCCGTTATATTTATCGGATAGTAGGTCTTGTATCAATTGTCTTTAATCCGAATTTTGACTAATTTGTTTTACATCTTGGTTTTTTTGATCAAATATTTACAAAATGGCGTAGAAGTACACAGTGACTCAATTTTAATACTTTATACGAATTCAATATTTTTATAACTTTAAATCGATTATTTTTTATTTACAGAATGCCACGGAAAAAAACCGACAGAAAAATAGGGAAGAAATAAATAACGAAGAGATTGAGATGACTTAAGATCTTATAGGTAGCAATAAAAGTACTAAGAGTCGTGTTGAATTGTTGATTATAATAAGAATAGCTTGTGCAGTTTTGTTATTATTTCTAATAAAAAACTACGCGGAATGGGCATTTTCTTTTCATATAAATACTGCCGTACCACGTTTTAATACTGTGTACCACGGTAGTGAGTCAGTGTGTACACCTAGTAGTCCACAGTGGCTCAATTATCATTTTTTTGTTTTAGGTTCCTACTTTGACATAAGTAGTAAATAATGTAGAATCATGAGTGCTCAGTTACAGTTCAATAGTGTATCTAAAATGTGAGCAAATTTTAGGCCAATATTAAAGCGATATCTATTTTTATTAAGCTTCGAAAAAAAAGTGAGTCACTGTTGCCTCCCTGACCCTAGATATGCCAGGAAATGATGACTAAGATGCGGTGCGAGACACTATCTCTTTGTAAGGAGTATCGTCTTGCACGGTTGCACTTTGTCATGCGGCACGACACGATACTTCAAATATATTGGAGTCACAGTATTTTATTATACAATTTTTTGCATCTATTTAAATTCGCTTTTGCTTGGGCCAAAATTTCGGGGATATTTAGTTCGATAATGTAGGTATGTAATGTACCGTTAATTTTAATTATTAATTTACAGACCGCAGTCCTACAGATAAGCGTATTACAGTATTCGAAACTGAATTGATTTTATTTTTGGTAATGGGTTTATTTTCCATTAACAACATTTAAAGCAAAAAAGAACGGTAATATTTTAACTTGTGTATCCAAAAATATAAAGTCAACAAAGCCCAATCGACCAATTTTGGGGGACTTTTTATCGTCAATTATCACGTACTTCTTATGGCGGACGGTGTAATGGAAAAGACTTTAAGGTGTCTACTGTCTACTTCCCCGAAGCGGTTGGTGGAAGAGAGCACTGCCCATAAATATTAATGACAACCACCGATTCAATGGCTGAGTAGCAGACAGGTCGCCGGCCTTTGATCCGATTGTTGGGTGTTCATTTCTCAGATGCAATTAGAAATGCCTCAAACAGCTAATATGCCGAGCGAAGGAATGTGACATGAATAAAACATGACCCAACTGAAACCAAATAAAAAAGGAATAACACGAAGCAATCTTCAAAAGATGTAGGCGAATCAATCAAGTGAGATGGAGACGAAAAGTCGTTTGTATCAACAATAAGCATCGTTAACCCAAATATACGGTAATATTGGAATGAGTAAGAAGAAATTTTCGGACACGTTGAGCACTTTCAAATAGTTAAGTGTGGCAACAACTCCAAGTTTATACCATTTATTTTGGGCAGCAACTTTTCAACAAATTCAAACAAAATCGAAACTAAATATGAAGTGAAATTGAGATTATGAGGTCAGTATATCTTTTGGTCCCTGTGTCGAGCACATTTAAATACCGTGAATGAAATTGAAATAACATGATTTAATAACATTTAAACCGAAAGCAACGAGGTGTCAAAAACGAATAAGCCTCGAGGGAACTCATCATCATGACTAATAACTGCATCTTGGGAATGTCTGAGTCATCACAGATTTGTAACATCATTAGAATTTTAAATCTTTTCTTTGCTTTTAAAAGTATAATTTTATTTCAACAAGCAGATAAGTCCATGACTGTCCGAGAGCGAAAGTTATTTTATTGTTATGAAAACGAACTCTATTCTCGGATGTAATACAAACATGAATTGTGTGATGCACTGGCACGATAACATTGATGTCAACAGTGTCCATAAATCGGACCTTAGAGATTGAATGGGTCAGTGTCCTTTTAACTAAGTGATCGTTCTCCCGCAGACAATCAGGCGTATTAATGCTATTGAAGTTACGACAAACGAATCTTAATACGACAGTGACGCTAAATGCATTAGCTAATAGAAACGTATTATTGAACATAAAAAATGTAGCGTTAAATCAGTGGAACGGTCATTAAAACGTTCTATTCAACTATTATGTCATAACTTTAAAATTCGTCGCGCACAATCCCCAAAAATAAGATGTTGTTGAGTCAATTAAAGATTTACTTCAACTTTAATTGAAGGCTTTCTGAATGAATCCATTGAATCAGTTTCTTTACAATAAAACGAGATTTAGATGTACGATCTTTAACAGACTGACCAACCAAGCAAAACCCTGTTTGCAGCAATTAAAGCTGAGTTAAATGAACTTTTTATATGTTTTTCTGCTAACAGAAATTGAAAACTTGTCTTTATTAACAAATAAATACACATAAGTTATCTACATGAGAATATTGGTCAAGTAATATTTGAGAAAGGTGAAATTCGATAAATTTTCAGCACTAATGATCACGTTAACTTTAATTTGTGATCATTACGATGAATTACCTACTTAAATCTAAATGTACCTAAATGAATACGTAGAAAGTATGATTTAAAATTAAAAATATCATTATCCAATTATACACCTCTCATTTAGAGCTTATTATTTAATGGATGTGTGAAATTAATGAAGCTATTGTTAAGTAAGAAAGTATACCTACATAACAGAAATGTGAAGTTATTTAATGTTATATTGCATAAGTTATTAGACAGCATACTTACTTAAGTTACTCACACAACTAGATAAGAAACAATACAGTTATTTTTTACTAATTCAGTTAAATGTTTAGATAGTCGAACAACAACAGGGCTGGGAATTTTGATAAGTTCGTGTTTGAACACGTCAAAACTGGTGTGTTCATGTTAAAACTTGCGTGATGTAGGTATCGGGGGTTGGGCTCATCATTTAACATTCGACAGGCATGAAGTACGATCTCACGATCCAATTGCTTTGAAGTCATTTATCATTAACGGAACAAATGAAGACAAACGCCCATGTAAATAGAATAAAACGATATACTGCCTAATTGAAATACTTTTTCGTCCATTACTGGATTATAGATAAAGCTCCGTGGAACAATGGGGGCACACGTAATGAAAGCAATAACGAGAATGGTTTCCAAATACACGATGAATAGATAACCGAAGCATTATATTCACACGTAAATCCCTATAGTGTGACGGACTAACACAAAATGCTGGCAGGCAACAACCCCTCTAAAAGTGTATGGGTTTAGCCGTCTCGTTTCCGCACACCGATCCCACCCTCCGTCCGTGGGATCGTGGGATAATTAAATATTAATGTCATCACAGACGGAATAATAAACGAATTCTAAGAATTTTAACTAATACTAATTTGAGGGCATCAAATTGTATAGCGTCCTCAGTCCTCAGACCAAAGGTATGCTTACATTAGCATTAAATTCATATTATATTTTAAAAATAACAAAAGTAATGTACCTGAATTATTGTAGATGATCTTACAGCGTCATAAACATCCCAGAATTGAAACACTGTCACGAACTTGGTTAAAATAAACGATAGCGACACCACCGAAACCGTTAACTACCACTATGTAGAGACAAAATACGTCGAAACAGTTGGGCACAGGTTCACAGCATTTGTTCAGTTACGCTCAAAGTGTAATACAAAACGAAGAAGCAGATGGCACATCATTAAAATATAGACAAAGCTCGATCACGAGAAGCTTTTCTTGGGGACGCGACGTGTGGCACCGTCCGCGACTGAATGGCGACTGCATCAGTGTTACTTGGGTAGAGGGGAGACGCAGCAGGGGGCGCGCGCGTCGGGCGCTCGTAAAGGCGTCGAACCAGCCTTGTGTCACTGTTGCTGATATGATAACGAACACACAAACCTGGAGATACCAAATGCAAAGCCCCCGAATAAAGATGAATGACCTCCCTAATATGTAATACTTTCAAATCTTCGGCAACATGAAACGGAATGGATTTGGAATTTGAAACAGATTCATTAGGACCGGCGGCTGTGACAATGAGGAGCGGAGCTACCAAAACAGATGTCTATTGACAATACGGTTACAAAAATAAACAATGAGACGAAGGATGGAGATGTATAAGCAATAATAAATCTTTCGAAGCATAAAGACGTTTCGGGTTCGTTTTAGAAACACATGGGACTGAAAATTGACCCAACAATTAAGCTAAGGAAGAAAGCCGTAAAATCGATATGAATAAAGGTAACAATTTTAGCTAAGAAAAGATGTTATTGATTCTGTAGAAAGTTCCAAGTTGAAAGTTCCAATTTCCAAAATAAATATATTTTTTATTCGAAGCACGTCGTAAAGTGCTTTCAGGTATTATAAATTCCTTTACTGGTCTAGTTAAGATGGCTTGCGCCAAAATAAACAAGCACAGAAAAAGTATTACTTTATCGTGGCGTAACTGCGAAAGCTAATAAATAGACTGAAATTGAAAATTTATTAAATGTGACAAGTCACAAACAACTTTATAAAGCTGAAATCATTTAACGAAATGGAAAAATAGCACATAAAAAGCAATAGCAGAAAATAGCATGAAAAAGATAACTTCAAAATAATGGTTAACGCCAATAGCTAAAAAGCGTTCACTATGATCGTTTCCACTTTAAAATCATGGCGTTGAGTGGTGCCATAAGTGTGTTTACTACTCCAAACTTGGATGACGTACTTTTCATGGTGTCCAAGCGTATTTTTGAAATATTTTTTCTGTTACTTAACAGCTTTATGATATTTTAAAATTAGAAAGTTCCTAGGAAATTTACAAACTCTTAACGGTAACATTGCTTTCAATTGTTATTTCTTATTCATTCAGTAAAAGAAATCTGACTCAGCTATCCTGTCAAGTTTTATTCGCAGCCCAAAAATAAACTTCCATCGCGAATATTGCCGGGGTAAGGATAAAATCTATTTTCGAAAGCAGCAAACGTGTTAAGTATTTATCAACTTCAAGCAATTGTTATTCCAAGAACGTGGTGTTTATAAAGGTAATGCTGGAATCGTTATAAACATTAATTTATTCGATTCATTTGCATCCCATAGTTCATGATTGTTCAAATGATAAAACGGGAAGGAAAAAACACAAAAACGAAATTTCAAAGATACTTCTTGACTCATAGAATTGAGTCGTCTTCTAAAGCTGAGTCAGCTGGAAATAAAACAGCAATAAATTGCAGTGTTACTCAAGGATCCCAAATGAGCCCAACTTTTGTCCTCAATCTTTCGTGACGATCGGTCGCGTTTAATTGTTTTGTTTAACCATGCGTTAGATTCGTAAAGGAGAATGTACGGACAGCACATCAGACTATAATTTTTTGTTGTAAAATAGCTTCTACTACTAAGTACATAAGAAGCCACTGTGTCTAGCTTGACGTACCGTTATAATCTGTACATCAGGAGCATTCTAGAGCGCTTCATTTACCTTGAAGAAAAAGGCAATAAACCCAATGCTACGCAAATCGTCAAGGTGTAACAAGAACAAACGGCACACCACGCTGTGCGAAAGTTAAGTATCCCTACGCCGACAAAGTGAGGCAATAAAAATATACGAGGGCCACGCCCGAGCACCACAAACGTGCCGATCGGACTCCGCCGAAATAGTCAGAATTCGCTTGTTGTATTTTTAGGCGACACTTGGTAAGCAAACATAAAGGAGATTTATTGCGATTCGGCGTGTGCGGCAGGTCTCAACTTTACCCATCGCTGTGGGTATCGATTGCCTTTGACATTCGGCATCGTCTAATCTCTATGACGTTGTCATCTTTAGCCATACATCACTTTTTTGTGACATATTATTTCGATGGTGTTTTGCACTGTCTCTGTTCAATATTGTCCGTTGTCAATTCTTTTGAATATTCTATCTTAGATACCTAGTGATGTTTCTGGTACACATACTATTCGTGATTATTTATTCGTATTGCAGTCGTAAATGTCTTATCTTTATAGACGACACGCTGTTGAAGGTATAGTGTTTCCCAGAAGAAAGGTATAATCACTAGCATTAAAATCCACTGTAAACAAGTTTAACGGTCTAGTTAGAATTCCATCATATTCAGCTAACAAGAAAATGAAAAGCCTTTTAAGCTTAGTTTACTTAAAGTAACTTGAAAAATAATTGTTAGTACCCAGAAGAACCCAACATAGGAAATATAGCACCAGAATGCAACACTCTACTTAAAATAGTTAACTGTAAATCTAAACTTGTTTGTAAACAAAGAACCAAAGTGGACTTTGAGAATTACAGAAATATACGAGTAATTCTTGCGGAAGACAGTGCTTACACGGTAATTGGGTCACTGTTAGACGAGGTAAGGATAATGCGGGAAGATTGTATGCACTTAATGGCAAGACGGCGAGGGCTCATCAAGGAAAATTGCTTGCAAGCCACACGGGACAAAAATATCTCAAGATTGTAAATTATGTTAGGTTCCTCGTCTATTAAACCGAAGATGACCAATAATTTGTATCCACTAAGGCTGAGTTGCATCACCTAACTTTAACTTTGACAAACGTCAAAAATCTGTCAAACTCCATACAAAAAGCACCGGTTCTCGTCATAGTTACCGTTAAAGTCAGGTGGTGCAACTCAGCCTAAATAACTTTAGTTTTAAACTGTCCTTCTTGTCCGTTTGTCGAGCATCCAAAATATTTGTCTACATTAAAGCCCATTTCTAACGTCACATATAATCACAAGAGAACGTTTAACGAAGCATTATCTTTACATGCTCAACAAATCTAATGAAAAGCTTTCTGAATTTCACCTTTATTTTTATTTTCCTTTTATGTCTTCGTATTCTCGGCATCGTAAATATTTTGTTATTTTATCCATTCAAGATAATCACGGCTAGGGCTACGTAGAAAACAAAAACAATTTAATGACTTTTTAGAAATGAAATGAGCATTCTCTTTAGATTTTGCGTAGGTGTAATAACAATAATACGCAATTCTATTCTAAACGTAGCACGTGACAATGAGGGCCCTCCCCTAATAGCTTACCCGCTGCATTCTCCAAAGCAAATGGCAGCAGATGTGGGTGGAGCACATTTGCTTAACGGCCATGGCATGCCAGAATCCAACGCGACTTAAGACGACTAATAAAACTAATCCTAACACTAAATTATGTAAAAAGTAGCATTAGTCTGTGTGTTTTATTCAATGTTTTCTGGAGATTACTGTTGTAGCTACTGTTATTTATAACGGTTTCGAAATATTAACCAGGAAAACAAACAGCTTGATTGGTGATTAAAAGAATTAAAAAGTCTTTAGTTTAAATGTAACTAACAAGCTAACAATAGCAACTATCATCGTAAATTGTGTTATTAATAACTTTTTATCTATCAAATTGGATAGTTGTAAGAATTAGCACTGAGGTAGTATCAACCAAGTTCGTTCTTGGTGCCGTAACCTATTTATACTCAAATCCAACTTTTTGCAAATGACATCATTCGTCAGTCACAGCTCAAGCAATGAATACAATGCGATAATACGCCGTGACGACTCTTTGAAGCGTCAGAATTATTACCGATTCCACGGCCATCCGAAAAGAACACTGGAAATCTTATTTCGTTATCAATTAGAAAATGGCGTTTCGACATTAATGGCACTGAAAGATGACTAATTTGGTAGACGATTGTGTCAATTAATATTCCATCTTAATATACGTAACGGTCTTTGTCCAAAATCAGCTCGTGTAGAATTTGGGGTTTTTATATTACGGCGTTCATTGACTTCTGTGAACATGACCTCCAAAGCTCCAAGATTAAGATGTATTGATAGAAGATATTGAGGATTGAGTTCCAGATTAGTCTGAAAAATTGGTAATGATTCGGCGTCAATATTAATGGCCGAATAAAGTTATGTGTGCCAGGTCGCAGACGATAGTAAACGGCCTATTGAATCTCTGAAAGGCAAGGCGAGGGCAGACGGAGCACTGAACTACCCAGATCTCTAAAAAGGGCGTGCGCTTACATATTACAGCTGGCTGTCTAGACGAATTAGTGCAAAATGTGACACAGGTAAGAAATTCCATGATAAAGAGAGAGAATAAAAATACCAAACCTCCCTTCTACTTTAATTGAAATTATTTCCAAGAAGTATTTAAATGATAGACTATCTACAACAATTGTTACTTTAAAACTTAAAAGTACAGTTAAAAGGGTCATTCCACAAAAATGTGTCAACTCTTAGTCCCCGCCACATTTCACTTGGTATATTAAATAATATTGTATTCCAAAATTGTTAAGTAACAGCTCGAAATGTGTTTTATTCATTAACCATATATATTTTTAAGAACTATTTTTATAACATCTTAAATCCCTTAAAAATTACCCAAAACGTCATTCCCTAGGCATGTCCGTACTCCGAAAGTTTGTGTTTCGGCACCCATATTTTTAGAAACATCTACTTAATCCTTTGTTTTAATTGAGGAATTATCTATTTAATCGTACGTTACACCAATTCTATTAATATTTTGCGGTTTCAATAAACAATAAATTGATTTTCTTAAGTTGAAAAAATGTCCACAATTTTTATCGTCATTCCCTCGCCACGCACTGATTTTATAATTTTGCGCTTTAATATGTATGTAGAGTGAATGACATTTAGTTGAGTTTAAAGTACGATACGAAGTTATCCTCAGACCATACTCGCTTTGCGGTAGCCGTTTTTTGAATTAGTGCAAACGCGCCAGTTGTTGCGGAAACATAATGTTGATCCAGTCACTACGTCAGTCCCTAGTTGAGTAGCTTTATTGATTATAATAGA